GAGAAAGGGACAGAACCTTGTCATCCTATAACAGGAATTGCCTGAAAAAGAGCCTTCATGTCAAGATCAACAGGTATATTTTAATTAAAGGAGAACTATGAGGTGAGTGATTTTCACTCATCCTCATAGTTAGAGCCGACCTGTGACAAAGAAACTGTCACAGGTTGGCTCTATCGATCGGGAAGTGAGCAGAAACATGCACGATCTGCTCACTTCTCGATCGCCTCCCTGAAGAGAGCAGTGACTGTCAGTCACCGCTGCCCGCAGGGATTCCCCCCTACCCCCTCTCCTCTCTGATCCTCCAGGAATGAGTGGAGGAACGGACAGGGGAGGGGGCGGGCACAGCTGGTTGGATCTCAACGGTAATGTTGGGAACCGTCCCAGCTGCGACGCTCACAGTATATTGCGGGCAATACTGAACTTTGGGTAACGGGAGGACGCTAGTATACGTCCTCCCGTGACCCTAAAGAGAACTATGGGGAAAAACACTTACCCCATACTTCTCTTTTAAAGGAAGAGCTTCAGGAAAATAAAAAAATGTACCCTTGCAGTGGGGCTACGCCACACTGGAAGGGTTAAGTGCTCATTTTGTCTAGGGGACTCAAATAGAAAAGATATACTTACTTTATTCTCGTCCCCTCCAGGCTGCTAGACCGCTCCCCGCAGCTTCATTTCTCTTGTGCTCTAGCAGTCTAAGGACGACTGACATCATCACATCTTATGCAGGTTTATTAGACATAAGGACGCAATAGCTGGAGCAGAGGGGGAGAGAGGTGAGTGCTGACCACAGCAGGACTTAGGATCAGGTGAGTATATCCTCTTTTTTTGATCCCCCTAGTAGGGGGACCATCTACTAGGTGGATCAAATATTGAAGTCCTTACCACTGCAAGGGTAAGTTTTTGATTTTTTTCCCCCAGAGTTTGTCTTTAAATATAATAATGAAATATAATTATAAGCTGATTTCATATGGTGTACATTTCAGGGGAATAAGTAGCAACAGACATCCCCATCTAAATTCCTGCTATAGCTATCAGTATCAAATAGTGCTTCCCAATTGACTCTTTATAATGCTGAATAAACAACCTGGAGAAAGTCTCACCTTTTGTTTGGCCCTGTATGAGGAGGTGGAGACACAAACAACTGCAAAGAAATCTTGTGACTGAAGTCCAGCAAATTATTCAACCCAGTAGTGGCAGAACTGTCCTTTAAACGACCAACCCATCTAAAAGCAATATTTCAGTTATACGTAGTACATGATAGAATATGTCTTACTTTTATTCTACACATTTTGGATGTGAATCTTATGTAAACAAGAGACATAACACCTACATAACGTGGATGTTGTATGCGTATGACAATCTAGGATCTCATCGTATGCATTGAGTATCATATGATGGACTAAATAGGTTTTTGGATCACATTCACATATGGCAGGAAATGTTCCTGCACAGTTGCTTATATATGCAGGAAAGCGTTCCAATAATATGATGTAAATTATCCCTGTTCTTATTTATTTTATTTAGTAAATCAGCACCATAGTTTGCAAGGGTTTTGGATTCAGAAGAGCTGTTCATTTGCATGTTAACTGCTCTTGTTGCTGAGGAACCAGAGAAGATTATTCCTTATACTGTATTTAGTGGTGTACTGGTTCATTGTTATTGCTATCTATGGAATGAGCCTTGATTCCAATACTGGAAAGGTGGAGGTCACTGTAGCTGAAATCACAGCAGCTTTACACTTTAGAAGGAGGTTGCACAGAATCATGTGATGACTCATGGCGGTCAAGCACAAAAGCAATTTAAGAAGCTTGCTAACTCAAGCTGCAGTGAATTACAATATTTGCTGGATAGCATTATCAGTTCATTACCTCCATTGCTTGCAGTAAAACTGTATTTTTGTTACACATAGCTGTGTTTTAATAACATATTTCAGATCTTTTATTATGCCCCGCCACACCAAGAAACTGGTCCAAAATAGTGCAAACATAGGTTGGCCTAAAGCAACCGTCCAGTACAGTTCACACATGGGTGTTAGCGCTGTGCTGCTGTGTGTAAAAAAATAGAGTGCATATCATGTTCTGGAGGCATTGCCGCTGGACAAATGCCTTCATTGAAGTATATTGAAGCACCCCTCAGATGCTCGGTCAATACTCCTATAGCAATTTTTGTGCATTTAAGAAAAGTTGCACAGGTGGTTTAGGAGAGGCATAGGGGGTTTTGCAATCCCAGAAACCACTGGGGAATAGGGTTAGTGGACAGAGCAAGTGCAGATGCCATTTCCTGTTTGCACACAGCCAGTGTTTTGACAACAACAGGACAGCTTCTAGCCAGGTACTTGCAACCTGTGACAGCCTGACCTATGCCACCCTGCAGTGCCAGCTGTTATCAGTGACATCCAAAGGTATAGGTATAGATAAAATATTTGATAGCCTGTACAGGCATTAGTGGAGCAAACTCAGTGATAATATTTACTATAACGCTAAATCTAAACCTTTGCAGTGCAGGGGTAGCCCCACTGCAAGAGTTAAGATTTTATTTGCCCAGAGTTTTTCTGTAAGTGCTCATTTTGTCTATGGAGCTAAAATAACAAAGTTATTCTCACCCAAACAGTGATCCCTGCTGGCTCCTAGGCCGAGGGATATTCCATTGATGGAGCAGAGTGTGTGTTTGTGTGTACCGTATTTTTCCATCTATAAGACGCCCCCATGTATAAGACGCCCCCAACTTTTCTTACCCAAAATTCAGAAATCAATATTTTAAATGAAATAATGCATCACACTTACCTCTGAGTCAATCACGTTATGCTCTGACATTACCGCTCTGGGCACTGGCTACACGCTCTCCCCAGCAACAGCTGACGTCAGGTACGAAAGATTTATGATCGGATTACAGAGACAAGATAACAGATTTCCTCCAATCATAAATCTTTTGTACCTGACGTCAGCTGTTGCTGGGGAGAGCGGATTACAGAGCCAAGATAAGTTTTCCTCCACTCTCCCCAGCAACAGCTGACGTCAGGTACAAAAGATTTATGATTGGAGGAAAACTTATCTTGTCTCTGCAATCCGAAGTTTTACTCGTGAAGCTAGTTTGCAGTGGTATCGACAGTCTCGCAACCGCTGTTCTCCTCTCGGCCCCCGTGTATAAGACGCCCCTCTATTTTTAGGTAAACATTTTTATGAGCCAATCTGAAGGCCACATGAATTTTGGAGGTCGATAGCTATTGACTCTGCAGACAGTTGGCGACTTCTGCGCACTGTGTGCTTCAGCATGCGCTGACCCCGCTCTGTCATTTTATGTGGCCTACCACTTCGTGGCTGAGTTGCTGTTGTTCCCAGTTGCTTCCACTTTGATATAATACCACTAACAGTTGACCGTGGAATATTTATTCATATGTAAATAGCGCCACCCATTCGTATGAAAATATCACAGTTGAGACTATTTTCAGTGGGGGGCCAGTAGCCCCTATCTTAATTTTGGTTGCCCCTGTCTGCCTGCCATCATATGTCCGGGTCTCAGCTGCCATGAAACCCAGACACAGCATTCAAAACCCGGACTGTCCGGTTGAATCCCGGACAGGTGGCAACCCTAACTTCAGTTGGTTCCCACACTCCAAAGACATGCTGGAAGGTCAACTGGCTCCTGTCTAAATGGGCACAGTATGCCTGCACAATAGGGACTTTAGATTGTAACCCTTTTTAAGGGCAGGGACTGATGGGAATGTACACTATGTAAAGTGCTGCATAAAAACTATATAAATACCTATAAAATATATATATATCAATTGTTAACGATAACGATGCTTAGTACCTAATTAATCTAAATGTCAACGTGTTAGGGTTGAGATCTACTTTAAAGTTGATTTAGGAAAACTGAAATAGAATTGCAGCCAATCAAAAAATAAGGGATGCAGTTGCTATGGAGAACAGCTATACTCCTATTATTCTTTATGATGCTTAACACTGCTATTATTACCATTTTTTTATTAGGTCAGTCCCCTTATATTCAGTTTTGGACAGCATGCTGGTCATTTTCAATGCTGCTCAGCAACTCCTGGAGATTCTCTTGCAGGGATTTAAGTTCTCAGTTCCTCTCCCCTCCTGTGACAATTACAAGGGGTGGGAAATGTCTCACTCCCTCTGTCGGATTTCTCATTAGTCAGTATTACACGAGACTCCCTTTGCTGACACAACGCACTCCGTGGTTGCGGAGGAAGAACACATTTCTACAGCAGACCCGACTCCCGGAAAGAAAATTCAGGAAATATTACAACCCAGCAGTATCCATCCACAACCAAAATATCAGCCCTGTGCAGACTATCTCTTTAATACACTCTAGCCTTCCCTATACGTAGTGCTTCACTCATAATGCAATGGTTAACAAACACACAACCCATCTCCCCCACCACAGCAGAAAAGTCATCATCTACAGATTTCCGTGGGAAAAAAAGCAGGAAAAAGGGACAATTTTTATTTCATTTTCCCAGCCAGTCACTGAACAAAGAAACATAATCAAAGCAGGGTACAGCCTGACACAGAAAAATGCTCCATTTTATATTTCAAGTGTCTTTTACTTTTCTATTGCAGCAGGGTGACTTTTATATTACAGGTGTCTTTTTTGTATACTAGTGTTACAGGTGCACAGCTCTGGATTGCAGGTCTGCTTTACAATGCCTATATAATACAAGACACATAACTGCTGCTCTTGTAAAGTTCCCTCCTATATCACAAGAGAGGCACTTTTGTAGTCAGGCAGAGGTCTCTTCTTTATTATTTCCTATGAAGTCAGACTGATGAACATGATGCATCTTTTCTCTTTTCTAAATCACTGGCTGCCCCTGAATAATACATCGCTCGTACCTGCAGGGCACTGAGCATGCTGCTAACTTAAAGCGTGCATATAGGCAGTAGCCGGTTAACTGTCTTCTGGCCAATCAGAGAGCAGTATGGATGGTCCAATAGGAAGCTGGTCCTCTTTCCATCCAGGCGCAGCATCCTAACTCCAGCTGAACTGGTTAACAGCTTCAATTGTCCTGGTAAAGACATAGGCAGCTGAGCGCTGTGATGCTGCTGCCACTTTGTTGTGTATGAAGCTGACAAGGAGCAGAGTGGATTATGAATTCGGAGGGGAGAGCAAGTCAACTGGCTGCTGCTTGTGATTTTTTTATTGTTCTTCCACTCAGAGCTGTCTTTTTTCCTTCCTGTATTTACTCTCTTCTCCCAGTCTGGTCACTGGGGCTGATTAATTAATCATGAGCCGGCTGCCGTTAATACATTTATCTGGAGCAGACTGTGCCATAGGCTTCATCAGTGGGTGAGATCCAGGCTGTGGAGGACTCCTTCTCTTCTATCCTCATCTCTTGTCTCTGGAAATCTGGAGGGGACTACCTACAGTTCAGCTCAGCTGCTTCTACATGGCTCTCCAAGAGGTACTGTGCTCCTCTTTTTTGCTCTTCTATGAACACTTTGTATAGAAAGTGGAGCAAAAGTGGAATGGTACCCTTGTGTGATGGGTTGCCGTGGGCAACTGCTCCACTTTTGCTTCAAGCTTCATAAAGCAGAGTGATGCTCGCTTTCCTTGCAATAGCTGACACAGGCTTATTTTAAGGGGTTCACCTTTGCCACCTCTTATTTATTAGAGCTGGCATAAGCTCTGATCATTGTATAAGATACATTTGTGTTAATAGTTAAGGTACTTGAATGCATTTTTAAGGTTAAACGTCTGAGTTTAGTGTCACTTTACATGTTACAATGATCAGAGCTTATGCCACCTCCAATAAATAAGAGGTGGCATAAGCTCTGATCATTGTTACATGTAATTAAAGTGACATTAAACTCAGACTTTTAACTTTAAAAATGCATTCAAGTACCTTAACTATTAACACAAATGTATCTTATCTGTGTATCACTCAGCTGTAAATCCTCAAATCATCTCTGAATTGGTGCTGACACTGTCCTTCCTTCTGGGGGGGGGGGGCTATTTTTGTTCTCCATGGTCCTTGTGTGCATTGTAAAGTAGCCACCGCTCCAAGCTCCCTTCTGTGATGGACTACAATCTCAATACAAATTAGAAAACTAAACATGAGATTGAAGTCCATGACAGAAGCCAGCTTGAAGTGTTGGACTATAATTATATATATCCAGTGATGGACTATAATTTCAATACAAGTAAAATAAACATGAGCTTGTAGTCCATCACAGGAGTGAGCTTGGAGCGGTGACTACTTTACAACACACATAAGGGACCTTGGAGAACAAAAGTAACCACCCTCCAGAAGGAAGGACAGTGTCAGCACCAATTTAGAGATCTACAGCTGAGTGATACACAAATAAGATACATTTTTGTTAATAGTTAAGGTACCCAAAAGCATTTTTAAGATTTAACTCCTGAGTGTAGTGTCACTTTAAGGAGTAGGGAATTGTCAGTGTTTGTCTTTGAAGCTGCCGACAGTAGCACACGATGTCCCCCTGTGGTTCAGAGACTCTCAGGGCTCACTAGTGTAAGAAAGGGCTTATTGATGGGCAGAAATTTGGATGATTGTGTCATGGTTCTAAACAGTATACTCAATGATTGATACTACTTGTTCTGTCACTCAGCATGCTATAGGCTTTATTCTTCCAATTGTGCTGCTCACAGCTTGAGTGGTGTACAACTAGTTTTCTATAACAAGGCTTTGCTAGATTGATCTTTGTGGTATTAAACTTGTTAATGTCATGTACCTGTAGAGGAGATTGACCCTTTTGTAGGATCGTGTTTAGCTTAGTACAGCAAAGAGTGGATTACTATCATTGCACACAAATAACACAAGCTTCCTTATCTCTGGGATTCAGGGGGACCCTACAGGAAATCACCTATGCATAGTGTGTATACAGCACTATAATGTGTTAGTAAAGACAACTGGCACAGACAATCAGGCTACCATGCAGGCTGGAAGTTGAATGTTGAGTCAAATCCACTTTAATTACACAGGAGACACAAAGTGGCTTCTCTCTTCTGCAACTTTTTCTAGAGTTCTGCTCATGGCTGCATTTATTTAAGGGTCACTCTTTTTTAATACAGCTTCTTGAAATCACTAAGAATTCTTTATTTTAAAGAGGAAAAAAATATCTATACAGCATGCAATACAAATTAGATCTCTAACCACCAAGGATGCTGAAGCTACACACAATACTGTCTGTATTATATTGTGGACGTATGTTGCTCCATCTATTAAAAATGAATATGGACAATATTACAGGCATTTATATAGCGCTGTCAGTTTTTGGAGTGCTTAACATACCATTCATTCACATCAGTCCCTGCCTTCAAGAAGCTTACAGTCTAAGCTCCCTATCTCCTATTCATACATACCGTACATGCATACACATACTAGAGACAATTTAGACAATTAACCTACCAGCATGTCCTTGACGCATAGGGGAAAACCTCACAAGCACAAGGAGAACATGCAAACCTCATGCACATAGTGTCCTAACCAAACCTAGATTCCAACCAGGGACCTCAGTACTGCAAGACAGAAGTGCTGACCACTGAAAGCACTGCGCTCAACTGTGCTGAGTGGTTTTCATTTGTTTATTAGGATTAGAGGTGTGTGTTTTGCATTCTCAATATGTAAGGTGATTGTAGCCATATTAGTGCACTTGTAACAGTTAAGGCTAGGTTCAGATCTGAGCGGTCCTGGGACGCGCGTCCCGGGACCTCGCGATCGTGCTCAGGTGCACACAGCGATTGCCATGCGGCCCCATTGATTTCAATGGGGTTACATCCACGCGCCAAACGCTAAAAAAAAAGGTACAAGTACCTTTTTTTTTGCGACACACAATGCACAGCTTTTTTTTTAGCTGCGATCATGTTAAACTGCCCGGTTGGAATCGTGGCAGGAAACCGCGCGATCCACCCAGTGCGACTGGGGTGCCATTCGAAAATAATGACACCGCCAGCGCAATCCGATGTGGTGGTCCACTCTGTGACCGCCCAGGAATCCATTCGGGTTTTGTGCAGTATTGCCGTGTGGTCACGGATTGCCCAGATGTGCACCTAGCCTTTAACAGGCTACACCAACCTTTCTCAACTGATGTGCCTCCTGGCTTCCTCAGGGGTGCCTCAAAATTGTGTGGTAGCGGGACTGTGATGTGAAGGGGGAATGAACACTGAGGTGAAGGGGGCTCCTGATGTAAAAGGGGAACTCTGATGTGGAGGGAAGGACTCTGATATGAAAGTGGAGCTTCTAGTGTGAAAGGGGGGCTCCTGATGTGAAGGGGGCCACTTATTCAAAGGAGGGCCCCTGATGTAAAGGGAACTCTAATCTGAATAGGGGGAGGGATCTTGATTTGAAGGGGACACTTTGATGTGAAGGGGAAAACCCTCACTTTTGGGTGTTTTTGCATGGGGGTCCCCCTTAAAATCTATGATATTTTATACTGGGGTGCCTTTAGATTTTGCATACCTTTTAAAGGGTGCTGTAATGAGAAAAATGTTGAGAAATGCTGATGTACAACCCATCTTCTAGATCCAAGAATTACTAAAGACCCCAGAAAAATTAACTGTTGCTTTAAATAAAAAAAAAAATGAATCCTGTCAGCACCGTGCTGCTCCCTTAAAAACGCGAAGGCGAGCACTAGTTACCCCCACCTCTCCACTCAATAACTTTTGGCATAGTTATCCATTAAAAACACCACAAATAAGCCATATCAGAACAATTGACGTTGTAAATCCTAGGGGCTAATCTGACTATTAACTTTCTTTGCTGCTGAGAGATTAAACTCCTGGCAGTATACTAATTATCAACACGTTTAAATCACTCTGCTGCTAATGAGATGATGGGCAATAAGTAGTTAAATCTCTCAGTAGCAAACAGATTTAATTGCCAGCGTAGCCCTTACCCAATGTCGTAAGTGGCAGTCACTGATTGAAGCTTTTTTAAATCAAATGAATGGGCTGCCCTACCCCAACGCACTACAACCGCCCTGTGCGCGCGCGGTCGCATCGCACAGGTGTGAACAGGGCATAAGAGTTACCTAGTCTTTATTGCGGTTTGCATGGCTACATAATAAGGATTTGCAGCATCAGGAGTGAAACACGTCATCTCCCTGGGTGGCATGGACAGTTTAATTCATCTCTTGAAGAATAGAATTCATTAGTTGTTCAGCGCAGGAGCTGTGCGTCGTACAGCTCTCACCCACCTGTGCTGCAAAAGAAAATTGCCCAGTTTTGTACGTTGTGTTTAATGTGCTAAAACAAGCATGTTTCTGTAACCTCTCAGTCTTCCTCACTATGTGCCACAAAACTGGAGCAGAGACATTCTCCTCTGCAGCCAGAGCCTGAAATGCCAGTCTGTTGCATTACGGAATAAAAGAAGGTCAGTACAACAGGGCATCTTTTGTGTATGAGCTTGGCCATCTCTCTAATGTTATGGACTACGCAGCATTTTAGCTTGTCTCTCACTCACTCTATTGACCTGATTGAGATCAAGTCCATTTACAACGTATGACATTAATGAGTTATCAACAGCGGGATGCACATCAGTAATTGCAAGGCTCAGAGGATGTGAACTGCGGTGTGAGAAGCAGAAAATACCATTGTCGTGTAACAAGGCAGAAGTTAGAAGAAAACTCTGCTCTTGTCTCTTGTAAACTATGCCATGTAGAAGATAGGAATGGCAGGAGATGGTTTTACACTGTGCGCCTAACGGGAAGTTTCACCTTTTCCCCAAAAAATAAAAAATGAATGCTTCTTAAGAAAAGAAAAAAATTTGCATTTATTTTCCTTTTGTATTGGAGTCATTAAAGCATTCTCACTGGGCACCAGTAGGCACAAATAGAAATCTGTTTAGCCTTAGCCAGTGCCCTTACCTGCTGGGGGACCCGCCGGGTTTCACATATGCAGAGAAGGACCCCGGCGTTGTGTAAGGCTGCCCTAAACGCCTGTCTGCAGCACAGGCATTTTACAGGGCAGCCTTACACAGCTCAGGGGTCCGTTCCTGTTGGCACCGCTAGTCTTGAGCGGGAGGGTGCATTTTGTGCAGAATGCACCTTCCTTGCTATTTCAGGTGTTGTGACTTGACACAACACTAGAAATTAGGCAGAGTAGATACCTGCATGGCACCCCTCTATGGAGGGTGCCTATTCTGCCTAAATTCGGTCCTGGTTACACCCATATTTAGGTCAGAGTAGTAAGAAAGGTAAACTTAGCCGTTAAAGGAAACATGAGTCGCCTGCCATTGCTAAACTCTCTTTTTGAAAATGCTGGCTGCCTGGCTTTGATGTCAGCAGCTTTAATAGTTTATGGCAGGGGTGGGCAAACTCTGGTTCTCCAGGTGTGGTAAAACTACAAATCCCATTATGCATCTGTCTCAGAGTCATGTCTGTGGCTGTGAAAATCTTGCAATGCCTCATGGGATTTTTAGTTTCACAACAGCTGGAGGGCTGG